GTTTTCAACGGTTAAGGCGTTGACAAGGCCACTCATCACTGAGAGGTTAAGATCCCTCCGAATCCAGTGGCCCTCCAAACCGACATACATTACAGATGTACATTACAAATGGGCGTTTTTTTAAAAACACGGAACTCTGAAGGTAAATATAACCTCGTAGACGAAATATCCTTGTAAAAAAATAATAAAAGATATAAAAAAAATTAAATCACATATATATTTATCGTAGTAGTCATATTGGACCATATTATTTAATTAATTATTCTTTTAATCTAATGTCTTTATTGATATGAAAAAGCAAGAGTCAAGAGCGTGAAAGTGGTTAGAGAACCGTCGTACTGAGAAGAAAATAGAAATACAAAATAGAATTCGTGATCTACTAGGAGGCCTCTGGCCTCTCTCTGATAGATCAGGGGGAGTCACCCATCTTGTGCCTGAGCGACTCCGAGGTTGGGCTCTAGTCGGGTGCCATCGACTTCTTTGGTCATTTCGACGCCATTACGTTCCGTAAAACTAGTCATTCTCACACTCACTCATACAATAATACACACATACTCCTTTGTACAAACCCAATCACACATGCACATCCTCTGTCTAGAATCCGGGTCGGAGGGTACTCGATATTCCGCCCCGACCCGGCTTAGCGGAGCAGCGGTTGAGCCTTGAAATAATATGCTGCACCGCCGCCCAGCATAATCCTATTCTAAGATAAACTAAATCTAAACTTTAACCTATGAAATAAATACCTTACTATATACAACCCATTATCCCAATATCTCTTAAAAACTTAAAAAGTTTTCCTTAAATTCGCTGCCTTGCTCGAGCAATCTCCTATAATCCTGCGGTATTCCATTTCGGTCCCTATACGGGGCCAGAGCTGCGACACCCCTCCAACACGTCCGACACCGTGAGTCTGTCATCTTGGCATGCTGGGCACCTAGGTCGACACGCGCCAACCAACAGGTACCCGTGAGTCGCTTTCCCTTCGAGATATCCCCTCCGGGCTCAACTGGTTGACCGTCGGCCCAACGACGCTTCCACTTGTCTAATATCATATTTTTCACTACTCTCTTGGCGTCGTCAGGTCGAATCGAGGTGGTCTCAACATCATCACTGTTGAGGAACGAGAGTACCCGCTTTCGCGGCCAAGTCCGCTCTCTCGTTCACTTCCAGTCCGACGTGTCCTGGAATCCAGGCTAAAATCACCCTTTTCCCGGCGCGCACAATGTCCGCATATTTCAATTGGATTTTGCCGACCAGTGGATACCGTGTATAGGGGGTCTCTCAAGGCCCTCACCGCGCTGAGGGAGTCAGTGCATATGAGAACAGTTTCGTCCCCCATGCCCGACACCCCAAGCATTGCGCGCCAAATCGCGTATAGCTTGGCGGTGTACACACTGCACTCTCTAGGGAGTGGATGGGAGGAGCTCTCCTCCCGCGTGTACACCGCGCATGCCACACCCGTACTGAGCAGAAGGTCGCGGGTTCTAATTCGGCTTGTGACAATTTCTTTTTAAGCTCAATAAAGACTTTAGATTGTAAGTATAATTAATGATAAAAAATAACTTTCAACTGAATTGAACCAGAAAAGTTTATTTTTTGTATTAATTATAGTTTGAATGAAAACTACATCTAAACAAACTCTTCGTCTTACAGAGCGTAAACTGAAATTAATATTTTTCTCTTTTTGAAGTCGTTCCTTGATATCAATAGCAGTAGAATGTCCATTGGGACTAAATTTGAAATAATAAAGGATTATCTCTCTGGGTAGGATACGATTCAGACCTGATCCATGCCTTCATGAGAAACGTGCAGGATCTTCGTAGCGATGAAAGATCTATCGGACAGTTATTCTGAGACTGTTAACGCACTCTGGCGACATACGCTTGACTTCTTCCATTTTGAAAATAGTAAATCTATTTTTAAAATGGAAAGTCATAAGCCGGTTTGTTTGGGCATTTCTATGAAAGGTTTACAAACGTAATCTTCATCGAGGGTTCCTTAACAGCTGCGCGATATATTAAAAATGTGTTATCAGAAAAAGTTATTCCTTATATGCTACTAATCGGCGACCGTTTTACTTCTATGTGTGTATCAATTTAATGTTTGCTGATAACTGCCCTTAAACCCAAAACGCCCAGTGATGCCAGAGAATTTGAAGGAATAAAGAATGGCGCTGTTGGAGGAGTTCGAAAATATTCCGCAGCACATTAAAAAAATACTCATAAATACAAATATACTATGCAACGTCGAATGAAAGCGGTTATCAACGTAAGAAGAAGAAATGTACTGATTTTCTTCATTGTTCATAGATTTTTTTTCGTTAATATCTTTTACTCAGTTTTTTTAAATTTTATTATTCAACTACATTTTAATTTTTTCTTTAAAAATTCACTAAACAAAAAAAATAAAAATTATAACAATTGCAAGAATTTACTAAATATTCGCTGGTGGGCACTCTTTAATTAAAGCTAGTATCATTAAAATTTTATTAATTTAAACAATTCTTTTGCTATTGTAGTAGCCTTCATAAAGACAATATAAATTTTTGAAAGCTTGACTCTATAAATAGTGATGTCCGCACACTGGATAATAAAATTTTAATTTAAATAGTAAATAATAAATTGTGTATTTTAAATAATGAACTTCGGTCGTTAATTTTTTACAAGTTAATATGGAACTGACACGACAAATTATTAAAACAATTAATTACATTTTATCATGTACTTTATTGATATTGTAAACTATAATAAAACCTAAAACCTATTCATGTCTCACAATTTTATTTCGACTAATCTCCAGTCAATAATTGTAACATTGAAATCTACTTTTGGCCAAGAAACCTTCTGAAATTAATTATTTAAATAACGAAAGACTGTTTGTATCAGATGTTCAACGTGGAACATTTTAAGTTGAGATGCAGGCAAATATTCGCTTCATCATTTTGCGTTGACAAGAAAGCGTTTCCATAAGTGCGCATTCCGTAAATTGCATTTGAAGTCGAGCCCATTTGAATTAGAACTAAAGTTTACGTTTACAATCTCATTATGTAACGTAGAAGTTTACGAATTTGCCGTGTATTAAAATATTTTACACGATTCCATGTTTTTTCGTGAAGCGTCAAAGCGCTTGCATAGATTAAAACCGCAAGACAGATTGGCCGCGCATGATAAACACAGGGGAGCGCCGTATTTTTAACACACACACACACACACACACACACACACAAACACTTTCACTCTTTCTCTTTCTATCTATCTCTTATTCACTCTTTTTTTCAACACCTTAATTGAGAATTCAGGTTAAATTATAAATTATTTTTAAAGTTTAAAATTATTGTTTGACAATATCAATCTTGTTTTTCAAATAATAGCCTGTTCAACTTAACACATTAAATTTTCCAAGTTTAATTTTACAAGGTTTGGCTCGGCACAATGACTGTGTATTTAAACATTGCTTTTATTCTGTATTATTTCGTCTGTTCAGCTTCTTTAGAGATGAATTTTGTTATAGAGCAATTATCAATATATCAATAATATCTTCTAGGAAATTGTGTAGGTTAACTTTAAAACTTCTAAGTTTGTTGAGATGTAGTTTTCATTCAAACTAGAATTAATACAAAAAATAAACTTTTCTAGTTCAATTCAGTTTAAAGTTATTTTTTATCATTAATTATACATACAATCTAAAGTCTTTATTGACCTTAAAAAGCAATTATCACGAGCTGCATAAGAACCCACGACCTGCTGCTCAGCACGGGTGTGGCATACGCGGTATACACGCGGGAGGAGAGCTCCTCCCATCCACTCCCTATAGAGTGCGGTGTGTACACCGCCGAGGTATACGCGATTTGGCACGCAATGCTGGGGTGTGGGGGACGAAACTGACTCCCTCAGCGCGGTGAGGGCCTTGAGAGACCCCTATACACGGTATCCACTGGTCGACAAAATCCAATTGAAATATGCAGACATTGTGCGCGCCGGGAAAAGGGTGGTTTTAGCATGGATTCCAGGACACGTCGGACTGGAGGGGAACGGGAGAGCGGACCTGGCCGCGAAAGCGGGTACTCTTGTTCCTCACGTGATGATGTTGAGACCACCCCGATTCGGCCTGATCACTTTTTTATCTCAACTAAAAACCTTAATTAATTGTAATACATTAATTGGTCAAGCGGACCACGAAATTAGTGGAATTAGTAATTATGTTACCCATGAACCTCCCTGGTTCGTCACTGCACTTCTTTAGTGTGATTTGTCAAAAGTCAAAACTGTTTTGAGCGGAACGTGTTGGTTGGAATACGTGTGAAGGCGTTATCTTTGTTTTTCCTGTACCTTCGATGGATTAAATCTGTTTATTACAGTTCCGGCTGATCTTTGTTTCTTGAAGTTTGTGAAAGAACTGTTGATTATTTAAAGATGCGAACTGCAAAAACTCGTCTTACCTCTTCAGACCAACCGGCAACCCGAGTCTCGTCCGACTCCGAACTTAAGTTAGGAAAGTGCTCAGCTCCTTCGGTTTCGACCGATAAGCTGCAAGTCCCGTATTGTGTTCGGACCTGCTCGAAACGAAGACTACGAGCTCGCCAAAGACGAGGCGGAAGCGGTCAAGGATAGCATAGCCGAAAAGGAAAAAATGTAAGTTCCACAAGAGAAAGAAGTGAATGAAAAGAACATATAGGAAGAGGGTAAATATGATAAGAAACCAATTATGAAAATGACGAAGATGAAGACAGAAGTTGCTCCCGATAAAGTCACGATGGAATGTAGGCCGAATTATAAAATAAAGAAGTAAATTTATAAGATAACGTGAAGTGAGGGGCTTACTGCTATGAAATTCAAGATTTGGAATTATTCCAAATTTTATCATTTTCGGCACCTGTACATACGGCAAACAATTTACATTTGTGGGTTTCTGTTAAGTGTAGTCAATTAGAACATCACTTCTGTTAGAAAATATGAAACAAACTACATGGTTTTATTATTTTATTTCTAGCTCTTATAGTATATTACAATACTATACAAATATTTTTAAAAAATATTACAGTGTTGGGTTTTTGATTCACTGGTATGTTATGGAATAATAAAAAATTTGAAGCAAAAAATCTTAATTGCACTATATGCTACAACTTAATTTTAGCGTAACATAACTTAATTTGAAAATTACGTATTACATACACACGTGCTAACTTTTTTAAAACTGAAATAAATATTATACCGCAAAACAACAAGGTGTGACAAATCATGAAATCGTAAGCCCTAATTTCAAACAAGCTAATTGCGTTCTATGAATTTCTCTTTCCTTTCTCATCTCTCATTTAGGAAAAACTTAAGCAGCGCTATGTATGATAATATTCCTTGACAGAACTAAAAAAATAGATACATTTTATTATTCTTTTTAGTGTTATTAGTACTTTTTATTGAGTTTACCGAAGTAAATTGTGGCATGCCAAACGTGCACAAGTCGTGGAAATGAAATGTTACAGGACGGGACGCAATTTTCATCAAGAACCACAGTTCTTTCTTCCTTTTGATTGTTTGGACGTACCACTCGTTTTGGTACGTTTGCAGAAACAGTATCTCGTTCTGAAAATAAATAATGATTTATTAAAAACTCAAAGTCGAATACGAATTTTACCTGGGACCAGAGGTGGGAACCGCAGTAGCTGATCACGAAAGGCGGGAATAAGAGCACCAGCGAGAATATAGCGTTTTGTAAAAAATCGTTACCTTCATTCTAAACAGAAACAGTTTAATTAAAATTTTCCACTGGGTATTTACAATACAATAATACTTACTGTCATTGCACGGTAAATTCTCACTGATACTTCAAAGCCGTTTACTAGAACGACGAAAAAGCAAGACGCCGAAAAAAAATTGTTGTAGTAACTAACTTGCCTTTAAAAGACAATAAGAAATAACTGTTTATAAGTTAAGATGATAGATTTCAACTTACCTCAAAATTTTTATGTGGAATTTGAAAATGCGTTCATCGAAATTTTCTCTCGTCTTCACCATCTCCTGCAGACAGTTCAGGAAGTGGCCGATGTATAAGGTAGCACCATAAAGAATATTAATGGAACCAGCATCGCTCATAAGAACCACTAGGGAGACAAGCAGTTGGGCGAGAAATACAGAATAAACCCATTCGTTTGGAAATGGAGTACTTATCGGATACAGCCATCTAATTTCTTCCGCGGAGAGACCATAGTTGATTCTAAGCCATTCGGCTACGATCAAAGTCATAGGAGCCAAATAGAAAACTAAGTTGGACACCATGAAACGTTTTAGTCGAGCATCCACCTTTACAAATTCATCGGGGATAATATTTTCTCCGATCATTTCTGCCCACATTTCGTCCAACTCTTCAACCATACGCATAACGAACCGGATTCTCAAGAGGACGTTGAGGTGCCTGAAAAGGATATTCAAGACGGAACATGTAATCTGGAACGCTTCGACTCTCATCGCACTGGTGTCGTCGCTGAATACGTGACAGAAAGAACCAATGATAGACGGAAACAAATAGAACGTAATCGCTGACACATAACAATAAACAGCAAGTGGGTTTTTTTTCCTCGGGTTGTATCCCATCCCACCGATGATGGCGAATGCGTATATACGCTGTGATGGAGTTTGAACGCTCTGGGAAAAATAAAATCAAAATTAAATACCTTCCGGCAGATTCTACTTTAGTGATAAGTTAGTCTAAAGTTCCTCTAAGGGAGACATAATTTATTTTAATTGTTACATACGTTTGTACTAATGTCAGCCGTTGAAGAAAAATGTTTTGAACTAAAATGAACAATAAATTGAATTAATAAATCAAAAGTGTACAGGGAAAACATAAATAGTCCCTTTTTTCGGTTTTGATGTTACTTGCTTTTTTGTGATATTGTCGTGTGTTATCCTTAGGGAAAATAACAAATATACTCTGGTTTAAATCAAGGTTGACAATGCCTTATACAAAAAACAAACTATAATGGTGCTTGTTTCACTGGTAAAAAAAAGAATAATCACAAAAATCACCTTCCCCTCCGTAACCTCTGCCTTCTATAACCACGGCCAAAAATGTGGGGTTAATTAATATAAACGTCAAAATGAATCTATCCAAGTAGTTGGTATTACTTCTAGCAACTCCACAGCTCAAGAAAGGAAACGAATCAATTTGAAGTGATATCAATCAAATTGGTTCAACAAAAATGATAAATCAGTAGACGCTGTTGATTGAAGGCAAATTCACCTGCTAAGTGGATATTTCCCGTGAAAAAAGTCTGGAAACAGCAAGTGACTGTAGACTGGAGTTTGCGTTGGAAAAAATACATATAAAAATTAGAATGATCAATAATTTTTTAGACATGGTACTCAGTGGAATCTTGAAGGGATTAGAAATGATTATAGTCGTTACCAAAATACCAGTCGGCACATTTTTAGCAGCGTTTGAAACATTGATTTTTTCAAAATTAATATTTAGTTATTTTCTTGTTTTTACACCGTACGCTTTAACTACTTTTCTCGCAAAGAATGATAAAATCTGACAAAAATTATTAGACCTAGTCATATTTTAGAAAAAGTCAACTAGAGCTTTGTAAGTAAAATTTGTAATACGTTTCAGTGATGAAGACGCATTTTAAAATATTCGATTGTATATTATTCTACCGGGTATGCATAAAAAACCATTACATTTAAAAACAATCACTTCCTAGATTTTCTAAATAGTAGCATCAACTAATTATTCAATCTATTACTTAAGCATGCTCTACCTTTACATCCACCGCCATTCTTCATGCGAATGAAAATGGATTTCTCCTATTCTAGTCGAACAAGTATTGACATTGAGCATTCTACCGTTAAAGACGTTATAAATAATTATTTGGAATTTCAATTTCATGCCTCCTTAAAGAGGACAAACACGAATACCTAAAAACATTTCGGAGGTGACTGCTAGACTATACGTAGTTATTAAAGTTTTAATGATTAAAGAGCGGACTAATCGAAATACAATCGCAAATTGTGGGTACAACAGTTTTGTAAATAACAATGTTAATACCTGTAAAAACAATATATTTTTAAAGTTATAAGTATATACTACCAACTAACAACATTTTCATTTCTGTGGGCGTTAATTTTACACAATATATTATAAAAAAATTACAATATATTTCCCATTGACAAGTAAAAAAAATTATTCCAGTTCTTGTACATTTTTTAGACCGAGCATCATGAGGAATTTTTAGGTAATACATAAATGATAAATAAAACAATTCACACACATTTTTCCAAAATTAAAGATCCCACACCAGTAACAAATAAATGTGACGTAATTTACAAAATCAATTGTTTCAATTGTCCGGCAACTTACATCGGTATTACATCCCAATACCTGGATAAGAGAGTAAAGCAACATATCTATGAATGCAAAAAACAAACAAAATCCAACAGCACTGGCTACCCACCATTTTGAACACCAACACAATTTCGACTTCACCAATCCAAAAATACTACACAAAAAACAAAACAAACATAAACGTAACTTTTTAGAAATGGTTTACATCAACAGGGATAAACATAGCAACAATTAGAGAACAGACACATGTAAACTCAGTCGCAGCTACGCTATTATCATTAACCAAATTCAATATCGATAACATACATATATCATCATCACATCACAAAAAACATTTCACCTCAAAGAAACCGACTCCTCATATAAAAATGTCTTTCTACACCGACTTCCTTCCCCACCCCTTCAAAATCCAACGTATATAGACATAAAACAGCAATATCTCACTGGCACTCTCAACACGACACACAAGAATGACACAATTAAGCCAGAAACACACTTACCCGATGCTACGCCATGCGACGCTACCCGATGCTACCCGACGCAAATCCAAACTCCGATTTTTCATAAGGTTGCATTACCCCCGTGCACTTCTACCCGATGCTATGCCACGCTAACCTGTGGTTGATGTACAAATACTGAAAGAAATTAATTATAAATTAGTGATTAAAGATAAAAGATAAAAATATTAGAATAATACCTTAATATTATTAAATTATTATAAAAATAATAACAATTAAAAAAATTAATTGGACGTTTAATATTATTTATGTACGTATTTAGAATGGGAGGTAGATAAAAATCTGTTACATTATTAATGCATTTATCACCATGTTCAATTTTGCATTTTTTAATTTCAAATTTCTCAAACCAATCTAGTTCTTTCCCTTTGTTGAAACTATGTAACACTGTTGTATTTAAATTTGAATTGAAACTATGTTTTGTTTCTTTTAGGTGGTTCTTAAATTCCGAAATTTTTCTCGATTTATGCAAGTGTTCTTTTACTATCGTTTTTTATTTCTCTACCGCTTTGACCTATATATTTTATATTACAATCATTACAATTGAGTTGGTAAACCCCGCTTTTTGCCAAGTTGTCTACCTTGTCTTTAGGTTTTGAGAGGATGTTTTTAGTGACCCCGTACTTCTATAAGCTATTCTACAAACTTCTTGTTTAAAAATTTTACTAACTTTTTCCGATAATTCACCAATGTATAGCAAACAACGGAACATGTACGGTGTAGAGAATTAATTAGTTGGAGGAATTCTTTGAGATCCTCTAATGTTCCCGACCATATGCTTAAAATATCGTCCACATAGCGTTAAATAATTAGCGTTAATACTAGCATGAAATAAAAAAAATAGCCCTCTACATTACAGTAATGGGGACACTAGGAAGGAGAGTACCATTATGGAACCTATTTTGAAACATTTAAGAGATTGAAAGTGCAAAAACCAACTCAATTTTCTCTAGCCTCGCCGTCAGTCAGGTAAGGCCTGAGTACAGTGATAAGTTAATTACCCCTACTGTCTTGAAAACAAAATTTCCGGCGGTCTGCCGGTATAATCTCCGTAAGATGGGTGGTGGTTGGGTTATTAAAAAGCACATTTTCCATCAATTTAATATAAACTTTATCCTATCAAATTGTCGGAGGAAATGAGGCTAGTCATATCGCTTGCACTCAGTGATTGAACAAATAGACATTCTAACAGTTGATGATTATTCTACGGGGCGGAAGGGTTTGTAGTAAGTAAAATGTACAAAAAGTTTGAACAAGTGTTCCACGTGCATCTCGCAACTTTTGCCATGTCAAATCGTCTACTTTCATATCAGATCATCATCATTATCATCCTCGCACAGAATCTAACTATACACTCTTGTACATAAACGCATAAAATCAATGTGTTGTACACCAAATATAGTATGGGATGTTTACCCTTGTACGTATTTATACGTGCACATGTTTTAACTATTTTATAGTGCATAAAACCAATCAAAGTTGATACATATGAAGTTAGTTTTACAAAATATTTTTTTCTTAATCATCCGTATCCACAATTTCAATGTAATTTTCAAAACACGTTTCAATGAGACAATGGGCGTTGAAGGAACTTGATGATCCTTTTAATTTTTGTAAAGTTTATGAACGTTTTCTCCGATCTGGAATACCTCGGAAGTGCAACACATATTCAAAGCACGAGCCTAAATGTTAACTTGGTCCTTAAGATTTAATTCACATAATGTGAAAGATATAGGTGAATATCCTAAAAACTGCTTTATAACATGGGCACTAATTCTTTAATGATCGTTCCTTAGTCAAATCCGAGATTACATATGAAAATTACATATTGACGTATCGCACCCCGCTCAGTCCTCAACTTCGTAAAAGTTCAAAGCTCACAGGCGAGATCTTCTCCCAGGCAGCAACGACCCGGGGTCTTGTCATTTAAATTTCACAACCTAACGCCAATCTATAAAAATAAAGATAGTCCTTTTTTTGGAATTAGAGCTTTATTTTAAAGAAATCTCTGTCGGCATGTAGGGAGCTGAACTATTAAAAAGTAATATCTAGCATGCTTTCGTTTAAATCTACCTCCATTCATCGGAATAAAAATGCAATCCTTTTCTAGAGGAAGAAGTACATAGAACCGATAACCTTTGAAAACGTTATAAATAATTAATCGGAATGTTAAATTGATGCCTGCTTAAAAAGGACAAACACGAATATCCTTAATTTTTAATTAATGAGACGTGCATTTCGGAAGGGGTGTTCCTGACAAAAAGTAGTAATCAAAGTTTTTATTATTCACGAGTGGACTAATCGAAATACAATCGCAAATGGTGGATATAACATTTTTATACAAATGTGAATGTAAATGTAAAAGTAGTAGCTTCCAGTTGGACTACAATTTATCTATAAGTTCTCTTATATGTAAATGGTTAAATTGTTAAAATAGAAAAACAACTAGCAACATTTTGATATTGTGGGCTCTAGTTTTATACAATATATTGTAAAATTTATCTATCTTATCCGGCATTTATAAAGGATGGTTTGGGATGGTATGGATATCGTCATTTCTTCTTCATATATTGACGTCAATTCGTTGTAAATTTAATTATGACACCAAATTTCGCGGAAAATGAGACTTATCATATCGTTTGAAACTAGTAATAAACAAATAGGTAACAGTTGATTATTCAGTGGGGTGGAAGGGTTTGGTATAAAAGTGAGTAAATTTTCACAAAAGGGTTAAACGAGTGTTTGACGTTCATTTGGAAACTTGATATTTCTGACACACGATGTTACATGTCATGTCAGATCGTCTAATTTCATATTGGATTGAACGCACACAATCTAACTATACATAAATGCAAAAAACAATAAAAATGTATGTATATGAAATTACCTTCAAAAGATGTTTTTCCTTTATTTATCGGTATCCAATTTCAATGTAATTTTACGAACATGTTTGTTTCATTGATCAACATACATGTTTGAATAAAAATGATATTTTCCATTTTTTGTAAATTTCACGAACGATTTGCTCGAACTCCCGCTTTGTATACTTTACCTTGGAACGAAAAATAAATGAAAGTCACCTTATATAAGTTTTAAGTTTTTGGCTCCGTAAACCTGAGATAATTGAATTTTTAAAATTCACTTGTGCTCAAAATTCAGACAGATAAGCTAATATTTTCATAATAATATTAAAAAAAACAACAATAAAATTTGAAAATGTATATCAGTTGAATAATAAATAATGTCTCCTTGACTACATCTTTCCGATTTGGTTAAAGCAGCTTTGCCAAGTCTTTACAAAATAGCTTTTTCCTGACCTCGACGGTAATCTAGACGTAAAGCAACTAAGTTTGGTTAAGTAAGGCACACGACTAACCCCGACTTAATCCTTCGAGAAAGGAGAGGCTTCTAATGAATTCGAAGAAGTCACTTCCTGTACCAAAAACAAGGAAAACATATGCTGGTGAAAGTACCACCCGTATATTTACACAAGCTACAGTTGTAACAATTAAGCGACTAAGGCTAAATTAAGTTTTATTCGAAAACATTCATCGTCATGATAATCGTCATTATTTTATCTTAATGAACATGGCTTATGAATTTAATTATGTTCTACTTTAAAACTCGGACACATCAAAATAATTAAAATTTCTTGCACGCGATCGCTTTCTGGTCAGAAGGCGCCCTTAAGTTATCGTTGTATGACCTATGCGTATTTATGTCAGTATGGCCGTTTTCCTTTTCGACCTGTTCTCCTTGAACCAGGGACCGACGCCTTTCTTAACCAGTCTCAGCTTACTAGGGTTATTTCGATATTTACGAGACCAGCTGTTTTCAATTTTCCTTTTACTGTTGAAATTAACAGTTTTAAATCTGCTGGCGGACAGGTTGGGAAGAATCGTGGGGTCTTCCCCGGCTTCTGAACGATTTTTATGGATTGATCGATATTCTTAATGAAATGTGTACATTACAAATTACAGATGTATGTGGGGACTAACTATATT